CTTACATTCTGCTGCAAAAAGACAGAAAATAAGTGCACAAGAAAAATATAAGCCAGTGCTATGAACTGTGAAAAAATTAGCATAGGTAAGAGGAAACTATTTGAGATGAGTAAGCCATCTAGATAGGCCACTCTGAAGAGATGTCATTCAAGTGGAGAATTGAATGACAGCTGGGAGCCAGCCAGTAGCATTCTGGGATGAGCAATCAGCTGATGTCCAGGCCTCCCAAACCAAAAGGAGCCTGATGGGCCACAGGACATGAGAGAGGCCAGCATGGCCGATGCTTGGTAAGCAACAGGGAGAGAAGATGGCCTGGGGAGGGTGGCAAGGAAGGAGCTCAGATTTTATGCCAAGTGCAACAAGGAGACACAGGGTTTTAAACAGGAGAATGATGTGGTCTGATTTAAATTTTCTAAGGCTAACTCTTACTGCTGAGTGTAAATCACTCGTGTAGGACCAAGTGGAAACTGAAGTCCAGTGTATCCCGTTGGGAGTCTGATGATTGCAGCAGGGATGGAGAGGTGAGGACCTACTAGAAAAAAAGTTTGAGAGGTAATGCTGATGAATGAATTGGGCTTGGGGTAGTGACAGAGATTGATCAAGCGTAACCCTCAGATTTTTAGTTTGAGCAACTGCATGGTACAAAAGGAAACAGTTTGGGGGAGGGTGAAATCGTGGATTCTGTTGGGGCCACCTTCATTTGGACATGCCTATCAGGCCGCCATGTGGAGATGTTGAGTAGGCCTGGAATTCTGGGAAAAGGAGGCAGATTTGAGAGTTAATGTTCTAAAGACAGAATTAAAGATCTGGTCTGGCTGAGAGATAGAGAGGGAGAGAGAATGTATAAACACGGGAAGGGGATCCAGCATCCTTGGCCAGTGAGGTTGGAGGAACACCAAGAGAAATGGTGCTCCATGGAGAACACATTACAGCACGGGGTTAGGTGACTGCTAGTAAAGAGTGCGTCATCCATGAGTAAGTATTCAATCTCCCATGATATTACTTAGTCCCAGCAAACCCGTTAATAGTGTTCTGAGTTATTGTTTGTATCAGCTGTTTCTGGTTTGGTGAAGACAGACTATATTGAAATGTTAACAAGAAAAACATAAAGCAAAATTCCTCATTCTTGGTTAACAGGAAGAACTTATGAATGGCTTCTTTCCATTATAAACAGCAGAGGATGATAGTCTTCATCATTTTGCATGATTTGGTGTAACTGGGAAGTTTCTTAGGCTTGATAACTGGAAAAACAAAACCCAACAAAACCCTTAATGTCTAAATAATTCTTGGGTCTGCTGCAAACTGCCAAGAGATCAGTGGAGCTTATTCTGCTGCTAAACTGTCTTGATTTGCAGCCCAGTGATTTTTTTTTTTTAGCAGCAGTATTAGCTTTTTAATTTTCACTTCATGGACACATACACCTCAAGCAATCTGAGTTTTCCCTTTGAAAAAGCTCATAATCAAAAACTTGAACTGTATTGAAAAAAAAAATCAGCACACTTCCTGATGGCCACGGATGGGTTATTAACGTAATCACACATGAACTTACGAAAGTGCATTTGATCTAGAGGGGCTCTTCATGGAAACTTCCAGGTTAAATCTCACATGTAATAGGGATCAACCCCAGCGACAGCTTGAGAAGTGCCATGGAAGGCATTTGGGTCTGAGCATCACTCACCCCAACCTCACCCTGAGGCAGTGCCCAGTGGTGTGGCGGGGGCTGCCTGTGTCTTCCTGCCTCAGCCTCGCCATGCACCACTCCCTTCTCTGAACTGTTTCTTTCACTTTTGTGATGAGACAAAGCCACAGATCTGATTAAGCCACTCTTCAGCTTCCACATAGACACAGCTTCTTGGGGTCTGTGTGTGGTTTAAGGGTTTGTCTCTCAGTCCAGCAGAGCCAGATTGGAACCCACCTCCCAACTAAGTGGTCTTTGAGAAAGTGACCTTTCTGGGCTTTTGTTCCCTCATTGGTAAATTGAGAATAACTATGGTCATAGGAGAGCCTTGTCACAGCATTTTGGTATGGATTAAATAAAGATGCAGGTGGAGGACTTAGCAGAGGGCTGGCTGGGCCTTTAGTAAGCATCCAGCAAGTGGCAACTCTTTGCAGTGGATGTGCTGTCACTCTGCCTAACGGCACCCTTTCCTGGTGGACCCTCCCCTTCCCCTTTCATGTGGTACTGGCGGTTCTATCATTCTAGTGTGCCTCACCACCTTTCACACAGTTGGGCAAGTGCATCAACTAGGATTTCGTCTGGCTGCATGTTTCTGAAAAAAAAGTACCCATGGCTTAAGTTAGGACTTTGTTTCTTTCTCACATAAAAGCAGCCTGACACAGGGAGCACAAGCTGATGTGGCAGCCCCAAAAGGGCACTAGGAGCTTGGGTACCTATCTTTCTGATTTACCCTTCTGGAGCATGGCTTTCAACCTCATGTGACCTCCTGGTACAAGACGGCTGCTGGAACTCCAGCCAGCAAATCCACATTCCCCAGATGAACAGCAGAAAGAAGTGATGGAAGATGGGAAAAGCAACATAACGCCCCTCCCAGCCCCACCATTCTCTCGGAAAATCCTACATAATAGTGCCACATATAGAACTAAGCCACATGGGCCTCTCCTAGCTACAAGCTAGTCTCAGAAATGTAGTCTTTCCACTGGACACACTGTCACCTGAAATACAATGTGTTTTTGAATTAAGCAAGAAAGGGAGAAGGGATCTCAGTGGGCAACTAGCAACCCATGGTATGGGTCCAGGCTGGGCCATCAGTGCCCTTCCACAGCATCTGGTCTATGACACTGGCTAAGAATGGGTCCGTGTTCCCTATGGAGAGGCATCAGAAGATACTATCAGCACACATGGGAACCTGAGCCAGGGAAGGGACAGAGTGTGCCCAGGAGGGAGGCTGCCAATTGAAACTCCTTCTCCCTGTCTTGCTTTCATATTTTACTATAATCTTTTACCCCTCCCATGAGACTGAAAGGTCCTGACAGGAAAATCCCACCCTATTCACAGGCACACTCCTACCATAAATGTTTGTCCCTGGGTGACTGACTGAACAGCAAATGCACTAAGGTTTGGCAAATGCAGACTATATCCCAACAGGAGTCTTCCAATCAAGAGCAGTAGAGTCGGTCATAGATGGCGGTGCTGATGAAGATGATGAGGAGGACAGTGATGATGATGGTGATGATGGTGGTGGTGGTGTCCATTTTAGAATTTGATTATACTTTCCTTACTCCTGAAGATGTGCTTATCCATATATATCACACATACTGTCTGTTTTTCCTACTGCAAAGAGAACACTTTCCCACTGCAGATGGACCCTTTTGCCTCCCTGTCTCTCAGGGTAGGGGAGATTCCAGACCAATGTGGTCCACATGCCCATACAAGTCTCCAGACAGGCAGCATCTAACTTAGGAGCGTACATGTGGTCCAGAGTATTCTTCTGAAGTCATTAACTTTCTTTGCAATTTCCTCCTCCCTCTGTCTCCACTGCTTCATTATATAAAAGAGATCATAATACCACTACCTCTCAAGATATAATCCACAGTCCTGGCCACATAGTAAGCCTCATTTAGTGTTGGAAGTCATTACTGTTATTACTGCATGCCATTGACTCTGAGATGCACTTTTTTTTTTTAATATACACTATAACGACATTCACACTAAATGGCATGTCATGATTGAATCAGCAAATGTTTATTTTTCATGGCGTATAAAACCATGCTCTGTTTTACAATCAATGCTGTCTGAGAATCAATGGAATAGTTATGGTCATGAAAGGAAGAGAAAGAGTTCAGAAATCCAGGACTTGCAAAGTCAAAAAAGTCAACTGTTATAGATTCCAAATAGTAAAAGATGGGCCTGAGCGGATCGTTGAGTGACCAAGGCCTGAACTAGCCTGGCCTTCCTCTCTGGGAAGATCCAAAGTAGCCACATTCGATCAAAAGAGATAGACGTAAGGGGTAAGAAAGAAAAGAAGTAAAGCAAGGCTGAGAGCAGTGTTTTGGCAAGAACTCTGGGTATGAGTATAGCCATGTGGAACCGACTAGAAGCAGCCAGATCAGAAGCTGACTGTTTTTGTAGAACCTGACTTGTCAAAGAAACTGTGAGTTTAAAAAGTATTTGATACATACCATGGAATATTATTCAGCCATAAAAAGAAACGAAATGCTGATACATGCTATAATGTGGCTGAACCTTGAAAACATTATGCCAAGTGAAAGAAGCCAGACACAAAAGATCATAGAGGGTCTGATTCCATTTATATGAAATATCCAGAATAGGCAGGTGCACAGAGAGAGAGTGTAGTTCAGTGGTTGTGAGGGGCTGGGGAAGGCAGGAATAGGGGGCAACTGCTAAACTGCTAAATGGATGCAGCACGTGCTTTCGAGGTGATGAGAAAGGTTTGAACTAGAATGGGGCGCTGGTTGCAAGATGCTGTGGTCATACTAAATGCCACTGAATTGGTCATTCTTAAATGGTTACTTCTATGTGATGTGAATTTTAGCTTAAGCAAAAAAAAGCATTTTCTATTCAGCTATTTACTATTTACTATTCATTTACCATTCAGGGACCCACAACCTTTCAGCAACAGGAAGTAGGTCAGAAAAACTGCACACACAGCCCCCACCAAGGACATGTTCCCAACCCCGTGTCATTTTCAGCCCCCCAAAGTGATGGCATGGCCTCCCCCACATACATAGGGGCCCCAAAGCACAATAGATGGACAGGGTCCCCAAAGAGAAACCCACAGATGGTGGGACACCCCCCAACCCCCGCCTCACGGGAAGGGTTTCACCCTGTCTGCCTGGAAGACTTCAGAATTGCTGGACCAGGAGACCCTGTGTGTGCCCCCCCCATCCCATGCCCCTCTGCCCCCTGCCCCTGCTCCGGTCTTCCCCCCTTGGAATGGCAGGGCTGTTGTGGTTATCCTGCCCCTAGTTCCATTGTGTGGGGCAGGTAATTTATCTTACTGTTCTATTATTGTTTATAGGCCTCTGGATGAAGAAAGGAGGCATCAGACCCTACTGAGAGACTGCCATGCATCACCTGAGGATCCAGGAACATTCTACCAAACACAGCTCAGATTACAGCATGGCAGTGACCGCTGGTTGTCTAACCCCACATCTGCTCTCCCCTTTGCCCCAAATAATTGAGCTCCTGGTTTTCAGGTGAACCCAGAATAATTCTCCCTAGAACAATTCCATATTTGTTAGTCCCCCTTGCAGCTGGGCATGGCCACCACCTGAGGAGGGCAGGGTCATGAGTTAGGAAGGGCCTGAGTTAGCCACGAGAGGCAGCCGTGTGACCCTAGACTGCTTACCTCTGGATTTCTTTTACATGAGAGAATTAAACATTGCGTCCTTTGAGCCTCTGCTATTGGCGGTTCCGGTTACACGCAACGAGCCCTAATCATAATTAACCCTCGTCAGCTCCGGGCAGCAGAACGGAGGGTCTGCAATGCAGCGGCCTTAACCACACCATCATTCGGGATTTGTTGAACCTCCCCGTCCTCTCAGACCTTTAAAAAAATTGATCAGGCACATGGCTATCTAGCAGATCTCTAGAATTTATTCATCTTGCACATGCATTGAATAGCGACTCCTCATTTCCCTCCCTCCTCCGCCCCCAGCAAACACCGCTCTCTTCTCTTCTGTGAGTTTGACTATTTTAGATCACTCATGGAAGTGGAGTCATGCAGGATTTGTCCTCTTCTGATGCAGTGCATGCAATTTTAATTTTCGCTTTCATATTGTTTTTGCTTTGTTTTCATTTCATAGGTGATTTCACCCACTGATTGCCCAACTAACAAGAGCTTCCACCAGCTTCTTTTTAGCATTTACCTGGTTAATGGTGAAAGAATCCATAGTCATCCAGATAGCATCTGCTGGTCAGAGTAGCTAGAGTTTCTTTTATCTGAAATTCTTAAAACTGCAGGCAAAGTATTAAGATCTTGAAACCATGTATGTTTTCATATAAAGTTTATATAGTTTTTATTATAAAAGTTATAAATGCTGCCTGGGGATAATCTAGAAAATACAGAGGAGCAGAGACCGTTCATCCCACTTCCCAAAGCCAAGCACTATTAATATTTTGATGCATTTCCTTCTGCTCATTCCTGCTTTCTCCCTTTCTCTCCTCATCTGTTTACGTAGATGTATTCACACTGTATACATAACTGTGCACTGCTTTATTTCACTTACTATTACAATGTGAGCATTTTCCTCATTATTAAAACTCCCTAGTGCCTGGACTGGGGGCCTATTTTCATGCTGAAGCTTCCATGGTCCTCAGTGGGTTCATCCTACCACATCTTCAGTACACAAAGGCAAGCTCCCTCCAAAGTTGTGGGTTGCTCCTCATCTACTGAACAGAAACTAGAACTAAGGCAGTCAGGGATGGCAAGACATGCCCAGACTTGTCAGCTGCCCACTCCCAGGGCCGGTTGCTTGCCCACTAACCAGTCTTACTAATCCAGAAGTTCTTTCCTGAAGTTTTTCACTGGCTTTGAACCAAGGATGCAGCCCCATGACCCAGCAGGCCCAAGGGAAAAAAATCCAGACACAAGAAGAAAAAAGTAAACTATGCCAGCGACTGCAAGATGAGATAGTTGTGGGACTGCTCATTTTAATTTTCAGGAGAGGAAAGAGTCGTCCTAATTCACACTCACCTCACCCTTGGCTCTAAGGTGCAGCGAGCGGCCTTGAGGTTGGACTTGGATGAGCTCTGGACTTGGATGAGGGCAGACAGCAGGTATAGCAAGCTGAGCAGCCTCCAGCATTGACCCCAGAGTGGATCCCCTGCCAGGCTCCCTGGTGTCCGATTTGGCTTTTCTGAAGCAAAATACCTTTTTTTTTTTTTTTTAACAAAAACACAGCAACCTGGAACAGGCTCTGCCTATTTGATCACTTCTGTGTCCCCAGCACCTAGCACGTGCCTTGCACATACTGCAACATTGGATATCGTTTACTGAATAATGACTTTTTACAGACTCCCTTAAATGTTGACAATTACAACTCAATTTGAGTTTCACAAGCATTTTCTTGGGAAGGAGCCAATGCCTCCAAAGTACATATATGCTTAGCACTCTTGCTGGGTACAGGTCAGCCTTCTCAGCCCGCTGTCCCTTCATTGACCTATTCCCCATGAGGAAATGAGCTTGGCTTCAGCAAAAGAAGGGTGGATGGACACCACATTGAGCACTAGTGATATAGGTGATCATCGGTAAACTTCCCTATTTCAAAATATTGCTTCACATCCCTGCCTTCTTCCAATCTCTTCTTCCCTGTTTCTTATTCATTTATCTCCCTCTAATTCCCAGGACCCGGAGCTCAGGTTGATCCTATTAATGCCACATGCAAGTCATGTTAAGAGTTAAATGTATCTTCAGGGGGCAGACCTATAGGCAATTTATATCAGTTTATTTCTGGGAAATTGCAAAGAGAGTTAATGACTTCAGAAGAATACTCTGGACCACATGTACGCTCCTAAGTTAGATGCTGCCTGTCTGGAGACTTGTATGGGCATGTGGACCACATTGGTCTGGAATCTCCCCTACCCTGAGAGACAGGGAGGCAAAAGGGTCCATCTGCAGTGGGAAAGTGTTCTCTTTGCAGTAGGAAAAACAGACAGTATGTGTGATATATATGGATAAGCACATCTTCAGGAGTAAGGAAAGTACAATCAAATTCTAAAATGGACACCACCACCACCATCATCACCATCATCATCGCTGTCCTCACCATCATCTTCATCAGCACCGCCATCTATGTAGTTGACGTGCACAGCTCCTACTGTGCCTCTGGCACTGGGCTAAGCACCATGCATCCCCTCACATAATCCTCCCACAGCTTTACAAGGCAGGCACTTGATAAACGAGGAAACAGACCCAGAGACATTCAGCAGCTCATCCCAGGGGACACAGGAGTGGCAAGGCAAGGACTTGCGCCTAGACAGTCTTTCTCCAGGACCCTGACTTCTAACTAGTCACTGTTATAGGGAAGATGTAAGCAAGGCAGATGGGATTCCAGGGCTCTGACTTAAGTCCCTGGCAAAGCAGGGTAGACTGGGTGTCTTCAAGTTGCTCACACGCTTGCCTCTCTGACAACAAGAGCAACTACTAATAAGGGCCATGATTGGCTTGATGGGCACAAGATCAGCTTAAGGGGCAGGCGTGGTGGCATGGCAGGGTAGTCAGGTCTCAGTAGCCATGAGGTGGGGGAAAGGCTGGAGGCAGCGAGCTCTTTGAGATATGGGTTCATGTGGCTACACTCCCCAAGCTCTACAACAGGGAGGGATGGTCATGGAAATGTGAATTGAGTTCATTGAGTGGCAGTTCCTGGAATGAAGGAGGAAGAGACTAGGCTGGTATTCTTTTTACGTTCTTCCCCCATTCCCCACTCACTCTTCTGCTACTTGGAATGCAGACATGAAGGCAGGAGTTCCAGTAGTGATCTTGGGGCCATAAGCAAAAAGCTAGAAGAGCCACAAAGCCCTTAGCCTCTGAGCAAAGGCCATAATTATCTGCCTCTAAATTTCTCATTACGTATGTCAGAAAAATAAATGCTTATGTGTTTAAGCCACTTAGTTAAATCCAATTCCTAACTGATATACTCTCTGTAGTCGGTAGCCTCTGAGATGGGAGATGGCCCCTATCTAATGATGGCCCATCATCCCTCCTGGGAGAATACTATTTGTAATATGAAGTTAGAATACTACTTAATAAATCACAACACTTATCTTTGGGGTCTAACAGTAAACAAAAGTTTTATTTATTAATGTGCTCAACTAAACTACACATTAATATGATGTATTAAGGCCAGACGTCACCTCCTAATATTCATACTCCTTTGTAATTCATCTCCTTGAGTCTGAGCTGGACTTCCTGACTCACTTCTGACAAAGAATAGGGCAGAAGTGATGGAATGTCACTTCTGAGATTAAGGTATAAAAAGACTATAGCTTCTGTTTTGTGTGCTCTCACTCTAGCTTCTATGTCATAAGGCAGCCCTACAGAGAGGCCCATGTCATGAGGGAACAAGGCCTGCCAACAACCACATGAATAAACCTGGAAGCAGACACCACCAGACCCAGTTGAGCCTTCACATGAGATCGAAGTCCGGACCAACAACTTGACAACAACCATATTAGAGGTGTTGAGCTGAAGATGTCCAGCTAAGCTGTGTCTAGGTTCTTGACTCACTGTAACTGTGATAGGAAGTGTTTATTGTTTTAAGCCTGTCTTAGGTAACTAATACATCCTCCAAACAATTTTCTTGGTTTAATATTCAAGTTAGTGTCTATTCTCTAAGCCTTCGAGTGCATGTCTTAGCCCACACCATCCTCACAGAAATACTGCTCTTGAATAGAATGCCTGGCACAGAGCCTGGCACGTAGCAGGTACTCAATAGATGAATGAATGGATGGATGGATGGATGGATGGATGGACGAATAAGACACTGTTTCTTACTGAGCTCTTCTAAAGTACCTTGAGCCTCAACAGATATTGAAAAAAACACACAGGTAAAGACAAGGGAAAAATGACAAACTGCACCAAATCAGCCAACCATGTTTAGAGTATTGGTAATTTCACTTGCATGGCCTGTAGACTCAGCTCTATGATTTACTGAAGGCAAATTCTTCCTGGGAGACCTTTTTAAGTTATAGGAGTATTTAATAGCTCCCAACATTTATCTTTAGGTATAAAATTAAATGAATGTTTTATTTATTACTGTGCTTAACTAAAGTACACATTAATGTGTTGTGATAAGGCCAGAAGTTACAAGTCAAATGAACAGACTGACAGCAAAAGCGAAAACTCACCCATTTCCCTAATAATTTATGAACTGATACAGAAGCAAGCACTGATTTCAGAATCTGCTTCAAAGTTATGGAAACAATGATTGCAACTGTTAGAGAGGCAAGGAGGGAGCATTCTTTGCTGTCCAGCACATATAAGACTCTTATTTTAGTCCATCCGGTTTTCCATTTCATTATCCAAGTCATTTAAATGGTGGCCTAAGGCAAACTATAAGACCCATTGTGTGCTTTAGTCTAAAGTAAGTCTCTTCAAAAGCTTTCTGTCAACACGTGCTTGTTTGCCAAATTCTACTTTCATATTAGAGGGGTCAGGGAGAAAGGACTTCGCAAAATAGAGCTAGAAAGTATGTGGGCTGGTAGGGGTGGCCATGGGTAGGAGAGAGGGCAGGCAAGGAAAAGGGTGAATGGCAGAGAGGGTGGCTGGGTGGGGGCTCCATGCTGCAGCCTGCCCCCCACCCCTCACCCTAGGAAGGGCAGGAAGAACACACTAAATTCTCAGGGGCAGGATCTTCAGCACCTCCATGCAGTGAGGACACAACTCCCTCAAAAGTTATTTATGTGGCAAGGACAATATTTCTTACTCTACACTCGAAAAATTCAAAGAAAAATCTGTCTAGGCTTTTTATACGATTTGCTTCAATGCATCAAGTGATGCATTAAGTTGTCCCTGGGGTCTTGCGGAGAGCTCAGAGGAAATTCTCCACATCAAGGAGCCTGGGGGCTTTCTCTAGTATTTATTTTGGCAGCAGTTGGATTCCTTCCCTGCTCTCAGTGCTTCCTGCACTCCCTCCTTGCCTCCTTGTATCTCCCCCCTCCCAGGACGGTCTTTATAGTGCTTTAGAATACTAGAGAACAAGGCTCTCATCCTTTGCACAGCCACATCTCCTATATTTCTTAGAAAGAATTTTATCCCAAGTAGCAAGATCCTGGA